CCTGCTCAATGTAAGCAAAAGCTGCAAGGAAAATGCGTGACAAAGGTAGTAGGTCTGACGGTACCACCCGGTGAAAACGCAATCCTATTCCTCACGGTCAATGGATAACAACATGTCAATATCATACACCAACACCAGCAGCTTATTTCCGAACACACAAACGCAAGTGAACGCTACACGATATCAGACCGATATTTTGTGTAGGCTCTGGTCTCCAATAGCAGACATCTTTCAAATCGCCTCAACAATCCCCCCCCCCCGCCCCATGGTGCGTTATAGCGGCTACCTTACCTTTGGAATTGCTGAACGCGGTGTACCAGGAGAGCGAAATGAGTCCGCATAGACCGAACAATACGACCGTTAGGAAGGTGCCATTTCGGAGCCTCATCTCCGGATCCCCGGGCTCATGTCCGAACCGAGTGCGGGGTATCTGGGCTCTCTCTGCTCGTTTGCGGCGCTTCCAGGAGAGAAATGCCTCTTCACGCCTGGCAGTCGGAGCAGAGGACTGGGTTTGTTATTGCGCGGCGCTGAGGACTGGGTTTGTTATTGCGCGGCGCTCTGCTCTCGGGTAGACTACTCGTTCGCACAAGCAGGCAGTGCTCACGGGGAGGGGTTGCCAGAAAAGGGGGAATATTTTTTCTCTCTTTCCTCGAGTCAGAGCAGAGTGGTTCAAGAGATGCCACACAATGTTGCGAGTGGACGTTGGGAAATGTGAAAGGCAGCAGCTCCAGGTCGATGTTCATATTCCGCTAATTTAGTTGAATGACGTGGGCCTAGGTGCCCGATGTAGCCTACAAGTGCTTGTCCATCCATTCGGATACTGAGCCCATGCATGCAACTGGCTCGCAAGTGCAGCACCAAGAGGCAATAATGAAATAGCCTTATCAACACACTTGGCTGAAAAATGTGTTACAGTGCTTTAAATTGAATGTTACTTCTGCTATAACATGGAAACGCAAACCATGTCCCCAAATCCATATGGGTTATTTAGCCTACCTAGAAGCTGGCTGTCAATTAAACTGTTTTTCGTTGAATAATAAGCCCATATAAACAATTAAATGGGATCCGGACTACCATTTCTAATTTGGGGCCGCAGGAGCAGTGCATTTCTCTCCACATCTGGCTGGAACACACCTGTTTTATAGGCTGCACTAATTAGCCCAATTATTTAGTTATTTTACCTTTATTTAACTAGGCAAGTCAGTTAAGAACAAATTCTTATTTACAATGTCGGCCTACACCGGCCATACCCAGACGAAGCAGGGCCAATTGTGCGCCGCCCTATGGGACTCCCAATCACGGCGGGTTGTGATACAGCCTGGAATCGAACCAGGGGGTCTGTAGTGACGCTGCGCAACTCGGGAGCCCTAATTAACAAACCATTGCGCAAACTGTTCACACTTGTCAGTCGCTCTGCAAACAAGCTGCAAACATACTCACTACTGTCAAACTGAAAAACAATAAACAGGTAGCCTATCTTCCAAAAAACATTTTTTCCTTAAGATAACATTTTTTTTTTTCAAACAATCCAGCAAGACAAGATCTTGTCAGACCACATGTTTGATAAGCCTGTTTTCGTTTTGATAAATGCTCCATAAAAAAATAAAATAATACAGGAATAATGTCTGCAAAGATAATTATGTCCATAGAGGTTATGCCAATGAAAATAGTCCCGTGTGGCTCAGTTGGTAGAGCGTGGAGCTTGCAACACCAGCGTTGTGGTTTCGATACCCACGGGGGACCAGTACGGAAAATGTATGCACTAACTACTACGTACTGTAAATCGCTCTGGATAAGAGTCTTCTAAATGAATAAAATGTAAATGACAGACACAATACCATTCTTAACATAAATAATTTGCCAGGAAAAGATGGCAATGCGTAAATGTACAACTGCAACAAGCTTTGCGGGAACTTCTCAGAAATATCTTCAAATTTTAACAGGTCCCTGCCCCGCACCATGTAGTAGACTAGGCATATGGTTCGTGGAGAAATGCTATCATCTAGCGGTGAAAGCAAAACCTTACACATAGCGCATTTTTTTACTGTGAGTGCGTCTTGGTTTTGACTAGATGGAATACAGCTTTTGTCAGATTTGATTTTTCGTAGCAGCAGGTTAGGAGAATTTACGCAGCAGGTTAGAGTAATTAACGTAGCAGGTTAGGAGAATTAGGTCAAGGTTATGAAAAGAGTTAGGGTTAAAATGTAAAAAACAACCCCTTTTGACAAAAGATGTATCCCTTATTTTACATTTCCCAGACGCTCTTATCCAGAGCGATTTACAGTTAGTGAGTGCATACATTTTTCATACTGGCCCCCCGTGGGAAACGAACCCACAACCCTAGCGTTGCAAGCGCCATGCTCTACCAACTGAGCTACACCGGGCCTTATAGCAATGACTGTGCGCCTTTTCCTACCATTATTGCGCAGGTGACAATTACTCATCACATCAATAAGGTAACCATGGGATAACCTTAAATTACCCTATGAACATGATCATTCAAGCTTTATGGCAACAATGATAGATTCATTGGACACAGAGTGACAACAACTTGTCACAACACAACAACAACAAAAAACTACATTCAGTCATAATCCAGAGATTTGATGGTTGAGATCCACGAATTATTATGCCAACATAGTCATACACCCACAAACAGATTTGATCTAGTTTATATAAACCATCTGTTTCTAGAAGCATCGTGCGTGTTCTACGGATTACCAAACGCTCCGGGGTAAAAAAAATAAATCAACAGTTTGAGAACGCGGTCATAGGATCTATGAGTCAGAATCAGGTGACGGAGCAACACTAAGAGGCAGGAAAGGGAGGGTGAGATAAAAAGTAACGCTCTTTCACACAGCTTTCATCAGACGCTTTGGTTTAATATTTTCTGAATAACGTTGCATCGAACATTGACTAATGCAACATATCACCTCGAAGGTGTAATGATCATATTTCATAATTTTAGTATAGGCTAGGCTACTGCACAATAATGAATAACAAACTAATAAAATTGTGTGTAGCCTAGATGCTTTTGATAGATATATTGAAATTAATATTGGTAGATATATTAAAAAATAATAAATAAAGTGACCTATTATGAAATATATTGTATGTCATGTCTTGTTTTAAGACATGGGGACCAACGTGCCACTCATGATGACTGCAAAAATGCTTAGTAAAAGTAGACCAAATCAACCCACTTATTCTACTCAAGTCTAAGGTACATCGTCTTTCTTATACGTCTATCGGCACTAAAACAAAGTGCATAGTCATGTAAAGGCAAAAGGGGGATACCTAGTCAGTTGTACAACTAAATGCATTCAACTGAAATGTGTCTACTGCATTTAACCCAATCCCTATGAATCAGAGAGGTGCTGGGGGCTTCCTTAATCGACATCCACGTCATCGCCGCCCGGGGAACAGTGGGTTCAGGGGCAGAACGACAGATTCGATCTAGCAACCTTTTGGTTCCTGGCCCAACGCTCCTACCCGCATGTAATAATATAACAATAATAATATGCCATTTAGCAGACGCTCTTATCCAAAGCGATTTTTTGTTTGTGTATGGGTGGTTCCGGGGATCGAACCCACTACCTTGGCGTTACAAGCGCCGTGCTCTACCAGCTGAGCTACAGAGGACCACTATGTGTATTATGGACTTCGTATTAGTCTAAACCCCTATAACTTAGAATCCGGCTATACAGAAGTTGGTAACTCATAAACTAATTGAGTCTGGCTCTCTCACTAGTATAGGCCTATTGCTATTAAGACTATTAATAACACAGTAATAGAATAGTTCGAAGCTATGTGAATCCAGAGTGATATGGGGATTTTTTTTGGCAGACTAGTCTTCAAGACAAGCCCCTCTTCAAATATCAGTAAAGCCTGTCTTCAAATATCATCACATAGTAATCGAGGTCAACGTTTCAAGTCACTGGAACAGTTCGAGCTAGTGTAGATCAACACTGATCTCATGCGGGGAATTCCGGTACAGAAAGTGCCATGTCATACCTCGGCCTTCCACTTCATTCCCCTTTGGCGTCCCACTAATTTGTTTCAATGAGCTTGGAAGCCTTTTGCGCACAACAACAGAATGAGCGGATAACTTTGTCATTTAGTTAGTGCTATCCGGCATTTAGTTAGTGCTATCCGGTATCCTTGGGACCTCCCTACCCTAACCTTAAAGCGGCAATCAGCAGTAGAAACAATAACAAAGCGTTTTCCCTTCCCCTGTTTTGCTAAAAAGCCGAGGGATGGGGCTGGAGAAATGTAACCATTCACAAATTCATAGAGCTTTGGATGCAAGGACTGACCATCCATGATATAAAAATCATAGTTTTAACCATGTTTTGAGGCTATGTAGTTGTTGTTCACATTTACTTTCTTTAAAGCAAGCTTATATTTTGGGTTCTGATGGGGGACAGTTGAACTAAGCTCATGAGGCATTTATAAGTTATATAAGCACGGCGCTTGTAACGCCAAGGTCGTGGGTTCGATCCCCGGGACCACCTATATACAAAAAAAATTATGCACGCATGACTGTAAGTCGCTTTGGATAAAAGCGTCTGCTAAATGGCTTATATTATTATTATATTTTTCAAAAATCAATGTGTACATACAATTCATTTAAGTCAAAAACTGGATGTAGCAACTTCTGATTACAACCCTTTAACCCCTACTCTTACCCTAACAGTAACCCTTACATTTCCACTTTAATGGAGGGTAGGGACGTACCAATGATTCCGAATAGCGAGGGCCTTTGTCATTTAGAAAGTGGACTTTCCCCTGAAGCCGCTCCAAGCCCTCGTGATTGGCTTGACAGCTGCATAAACATTACACGTGACGTCGCTATAAGGTTCATAAACGGAACTTTACCCAGAAAAGCAAGACGCACTGACAGCGACCGAGTTTACAGTGGAGCGGGCCTTTAACATTTTAACTGCGCAACAAATATTTCGGAGCGAGTATAGGACTGAAAGTCGTGAAAAGACTGAACCATGTCTATGACCGTCAAAGCCTATCTCCTTGGAAAGGAGGACGCACCGAAAGAAATTCGTCGCATTGCTGTCGACCAAGATGTTTCAACGAGTTTTGAGTATCTGAAAAAAAAGGTTGAGGATGTTTTCTCAACCCTGCGAAATGTCACCTACCAAATGTTTTACAAAGGTAAGCCTATACTAGTGTATGATTTTAACGTAGGCCTATACTGTAGTATCATCGATTGTGTTTATTATGTTTTCATATCTGAATATTCCTGTTGGTGTTTGGCTGTAATCTTCCATAATATTGTCGGGCGCGCGCAGCGCAGTGCGCACTGAAACAACTAGCTACTGATTAATGTCGACGCATAGACCAAAGTGTGTCAAAGTTGCAATAAATTCAATAATCTGCTGACCAAAATAGAGCTCAACATGACAATTTGTCTTTATGCACCATATTGCACTAGATCAATCTGATAGAGCTGGTACACAGAGCGTTATTACATGCCTGCATTTAACAGCATTTCATGGTGAATGTCAGATAGAAATTGAGTGAGTAGGCCCTGTTTCATGTATGTCATACATGCAATGATGTAGATGTAGTAAATAAATACAAAAAGTCAATTACCAATTATAGCCTTAATTCTTCAATAGGCTAAGGCTGTTTTACTACGTTTCACTGAACTAGCCCTGCCTGCACACCTGTCAGTTCATAGTGGACAAAACATCCATTAATTATAACATGGGATACAGTGGTGGGGGCACATATGTTTTTTATAAGCCAGTGTTTAGGCTTTTAAGATTGGAAAGGGGGGTCTCTTGCCGTAACTTAGCAACAGATGGCATTAACCCAGGGGAAAAAAACAATACAATTCTATAAGAGCTCTACTCCCAATAAGCCTCCTCAACCCAAGGGAATCAGAAGTGACCTATTTCATACAGTAATATTATTCACTGGTACCACATCACAAAATTGACGTTTTCCATATTGGGCATCAGGGCTGGGGTCAATTTCATTACAACGCAGTCAAACCAGGAAGTCAATTGTAATTCAATATATGAATTGAAAAGACTTCATTGCTAAAAAATTGGGCATTTTCAAAAACGGACTTTGAAATTGACAACCCTGTTGGTCTTAGCACAACACCTTTTGAAGGAACAATATTCCCTAAACTAACCATTGTGCTTCATGTACTTATTGTGATCGAGATGTAGTTGTCCCTGATTGCACTGACTTTGCTCACAGCTGCTTGTTTGAAGAAGTGTACTTACTGTGATCAAGATGTGGTTGTCCCACTGGTTATCATAAGTTGAATGCACCAATTTGTAAGTCGCTCTGGTTAAGAGCGTCTGCTAAATAACTTAAATGTAAATAAAAAAGCTAGTGAGGATAAGCTGTGGACAGATGTCCTTACTTGTGAACTCTGGCAGCTATTATGTAATTATCTGGCTGAGATAAAGAGGAGCTGACAGGAAACAATGGCTTAGTGAATTAGATGTGACGACTTCTTTGTTTATTTTCTACCCAGATGAAGACGGTGATATGATCGCCTTTTCCACTGACGATGAGCTTATCATGGGCCTCACCTGCATCAAGGACTACACCTTCCGCCTCTTCATCAAGGGTGAGTCTTTTGTGATCAAATCTAATAGATAAAAATGAATAGAATTGTTACTAATGTGGAATGTATTAAGTAATCATTACCTTTACTAGAATAACTTAGCATTCTCATTGTTACTGACACATTGTAGTTCATAAGTACACCCGCCACACCCGTTGCTGACAGGTGTATAAAATTGAGCACAGTCATGCAATCTCCATAGACAAACATTGGCAATAGAATGGCCATACTGAAGAGCTCAGTGACTTTCAACATGGCACCGTCATAGGATGCCACGTTTCCAACAAGTCAGTTTGTCAAATTTCGGCCCTGCTAGAGCTGCCCCGGTCAACTAAGTGCTGTTATTGTGAAGTGGAAACGTGTAGGAGCAACAATGGCTCAGCCGCGACGTCGTAGGCCACACAAGCTCACAGAACAGGACCGCAGAGTGCTGAAGCACGTAGCGCATACAAATTGTCTGTCCTCTGTTGCAACACTCACTACCGAGTTCCAAACTGCCTCTGGTAGCAACTTCACCACAATAACTGTTAGTCGGGAGCTTCATAAAATGGGTTTCCATGGCCGAGCAGCCGCATACAAGCTTAAGATCACCATGTGCAATGCCAAGCGTCGGCTGGAGTGGTGTAAAGATCACCGCCATTGGACTCTGGCGCAGTGGAAACGAGTTCTCTGGAGTGATGAATCACGCTTCACTATTTGGCAGTCTGACAGACTAATCTGGGTTTGGCGGATGCCAGGAGAATGCTACCTGCCCGAATGCATAGTGCCAACTGTAAAGTTTGGATGAGGAATAATGGTCTGGGGCAGTGTTTTATGGTTCGGGCTAGGCCCCTTAGTTCCAGTGAAGGGAAATCTTAATGCTACAGCATACAATGACATTCTAGACAATTCTGTGCTTCCAACTTTGTGGCAACAGTTTGAGGAAAGCCCTTTCCTGTTTCAGCATGACAATGCCCCCGTGCACAAAGCGAGGTCCATACAGAAATGGTTTGTCGAGATTGGCGTGGAAGAACTTGACTGGCCTGCACAGAGCTCTGACCTCAACCCCATCGAACACCTTTGGGATAAATTGGAACACTGACTGCGAGCCAGGCCTAATCGCCCAACAGCAGTGCCCGACCTCACTCATGCTCTTGTGGCTGAATGGAAGCAAGTCCCCTCAGCAATGTTCCAACATCTAGTGCAGGGATCATCAACTAGATTCAGCCTTGGGACGCTTTTCTTTCTTGAGAGGCTGGTCAGGGGGCCGGAGCATAATAACAATTTGTAGCCTGCAAGTTGACCGCAAGATGCCCAAACAGATATAATGTTTGACTAAAACATAATCATTTCAAACCTTGCTTACATTTGTATACGATCATGTGTAGGAATACTTGGGAACAGATTTCTTAAATTAAAACCACTTGGAGCTGATTTCCTGGTGTTTTTTAGTATTTTACGTCCAACAATGAACATTTCCATAAAAAAAAGAAATACACTTTTGTTGGGTAACCCTGATCTAGTGGAAAGCCTTCCCAGAAGAGTGGAGGCTGTTATAGCAGCAAAGGGGGGACCAACTCCATATTAATGCCCATGATTCTGGAATGAGATGTTCGACGAGCAGGTGTCTACATACTTTTGGTCATGTAGTGTACTTGCTTTTCTTTACAGAGAAGAAGGCGCACAGGCGTGAGTTCCCTGCTTTTGCCTTCCCCGGCGGTGTCCCCCCTTTCGCCTTCCTCCCTCCCCCTGGAGCACCCCATACGGGACCTCCCCCACCCCATGGTCACGGCCCCCATGGTCACGGCCCCCACGGGCCCCCCATGGTGCACCCCAACGTGACCTGTGACGAATGTGAGGGCTCTGTGGCGGGGACCCGTTTCAAGTGCACCGTGTGCCCTGACTATGACCTGTGCTCCACGTGCCAAGCCAAGGGGCTCCACAAGGAGCACGTCCTCATGCCCATCTGGCACCCCTTCAGCAACGCATTCGAGGTGAGACACACATCTTATGTTTATGACTTGTGTTTCTAAGTGGATATATACACATATCTGAGCAATTTTAAAACTCCATTGAAAGTGTTTTTTTGTCCAGGAACAAAAAGGGGCGTATGAATGTGTGGTTAGGGAGAGAGAAATGGCCTCTATAGTTGTTCTTCTACTCACAGTGGTGCCCTCGTGGGGGGAAGTGGATGCGGAAGATGAGGCACTGCATGTGGGCTCAGGCCCAAAGCCAGTCCCAGCCTGGTCCCTCTGTGTCCCAGCCAGGCCAGGCGGTCCCGGGGGACAGACAGCCCTCTGATGCCTCATCTGCTGCCTCCCAGCAGTCTCAAGCCAATATGGATTACCTGAAGAACATTGGAGAAGGGGTGGCAGCCATGCTTAGCCCACTGGGTAAGACCAAGAGAAAAGCCCCATTATAATAGTTTCATAATTATTATCAATCCATTATTTGAAATGTACTGACTACTCTAAATTTAAATACACTGAAATTGCTTACTTACCCTCTATGTTGCCTGCAGGTATCGATGTAGATATTGATGTGGAGCACGAGGTGAAGAGGACCAAGGTGATGACCACCAATCCAACCCCACTTGGGTCAGGAGGCCCCCCCAGTGCTAGGAGCGACAACGGGTCAGAGGGAGCAGGGGCTAAAGAGGGGGACATGGACGTGGACGGGCTGAGCAGCCTGGGGAGCACCAGTGATTTGGCTACGGTATGATGCACACATCAGAAAAGTTTAAATCACAATGTTTCATTATAATGAATAATTAATCACAAGTAATGGTGAAGAATAAAATACAATGGCCTCTCTGAGATGGTATGTGTTGTTGAACTCTATGAATCTCTCTGTGCAGGGTGGTAAAGACGCAGGGGGCAGTGGTGACGAGGAGTGGACCCACCTGACCTCCAAGGAGGTGGACCCCTCTACAGGGGAGCTCCAGTCTCTCAGGGCAGGCAAGGAGGGCTCTCTGGAAGTCCCAGAGTCCCCTACTGTCCCCCAGGGTCCCTCACAGGAACCACAGAAGTCACTCACTCTCGCTGAGGCCGCAGCCTACCCCCACCTTCCTCAAGGTAAGATAGTTAGAGAATGAGAATTCTCTTATCACTAGGAGCAGTTGTTGTGGTGATATCCTTATCCTCACTAGTAGTAGTAGTTGTGACAGGCAATGGTAGTTATATCCCCATTTAGTAGTAGGCATCATGGTACTTATGATATCCCTGATTACTAGTAGAATTGCCTACACCAGAGACTGACCCTCCACTGTGTCCTGTTTGTGTCTAGATGCCGATCCACGCCTGGTGGAGTCCCTGTCCCAGATGCTGTCCATGGGCTTCACAGATGAGGGTGGCTGGCTCACCCGCCTCCTCCACACTAAGGACTGCGACGTCGGGGCCGCCCTGGACACCATCCACTACTCCAAATCCCAACAGAAGTAACGGGGCCCAACACAGTACCCTGAGGGACACCTACATCCCCCTATCATAGCCACTTCACCAATACTGCCTTCTCTTCTGTCCCTCTCATTCACACCTCTCTGGCAATTGCAGTTACTCACACAATAAAAGTCTTATTAGATCTGAATATATAATGATCTTGCTATTTTAAATGTTTTTGCTCTACATCTATGGTTGCACTGACATTGAGAAGTACAGTATAAAGGGTTTACTAGTCAAGTATTTATCTGAATGGAAATTATGATATTTCAAAACCTTTGTTAAACTCTTTTCATTGTGATGTCATTGAACTGAAAGTGAAAGTTAACATACATGGGTTCGTTTTTAAATTGGATTTACAAAAGCAGTAAAAAAAGTTAAGATTAACCAACATGTAAAATATCAGCGTTAACTCAATAGGAAGTATCATCTATTGACTTTTTGATTAATCAAGTAACTGTTCTTACACTTATCATGTAGAGTTAATGCCAGATGTAATACATGTTCATTACCAGTGTCATCAAAATCAGGTGAAGGGTGTGGATAATGACTGTCTAACATTGAAATCATTTCTCTCCTTTCAAAACCAAATAAAATACTTCTGCAAAGAAAATGTGGTGTCATTCTTATACCGTCTCATTAAATACATAGTTGAATAATTAAATGTATTGCCACCATTAATATATTACAAAGAATAATTTGACAGAATCTAGAGATGAAGTATTTTTGTCAGTCGTGTCAGTGAAATGATTCATAAGAGAAAAAATATTAGTTTTCGAATTCAATAGCTTGAAATTTGCTAAATGTTTAAAATGACAAAACATTCAGTATTTACAGAGATGAATACATTTACATTTTAGTCATTTAGCAGACGCTCTTATCCAGAGCGACTTACAGTTAGTGAATAATTTTTTTTTTTTTATACTGGCCCCCCGTGGGAATCGAACCCACAACCCTGGCATTGCAAATGCCATGCTCTATCAACTGAGCTACATCCCTGCCGGCCATTCCCTCCCCTACCCTGGACGACGCTGGGCCAATTATGAGTCTCCCGGTCACGGCCGGCTGCGACAGAGCCTGGATTCGAACCAGGATCTCTAGTGGTGCCTTAGACCACTGCGCCACTCAGGAGACTACGAGGCCACTTAGTATTTAGATGCACTCCTGCATCTACTGAAACAGAAAAAGGAGCAACCATTACATGGTTTTTCAAATGTCAAAGTCATCATCCGTGTAGAACAGGGTCCGGGGGGGGGGGGGGGGGGGCATGGTCGCTTGTTGGGCGGGGGCTGATGACAGGCAGGTGCTTCGCTCTCCTCATGTAAGGCCATATAGGTGGGACCTCCTCCGCTATTGACTGCCTCCTCAAACCCACAATGAGTGAAAGTCGACCTATCAAACGTCTTCCCTATGCTCTTCCCCAGAAAACCCCAACCCCACCTATCCCACCCAATATGGAAATACCACCACAGCCTGGTTGTCCTATAGGGGCCTATAGTACTGGTCCTTGAGCATCACATTAGACACTTTTAGAACATTGAACCAGTGGTTTGGAATTCATCCATATGCATTGTACAACTCCAGTTGGTCTCCTCATTTTCCTCCGGAGGGGCAGAAGTTAGGATCTGGGCCCATTTGGAGGTCTGTGTGACTGCAGTACCCCAGGATCCAGAAGGTTGCGAGGTCCTAGCTGTGCAGTTGAAGAGGGTTTGCTGCTGGTAGTTGAGGGTAGTGCAGTTACAGTAGGGGGTTTGCTGTAAGCTGGGACTGGTGGTCTGCAGGGAGCTGATGGTTAGGAGACCATTCTACAGCGGCGAATGAGCTGGGGTAAAATGCCAACCAGAGAAAGCATATTAGTTTTGTACATACTGTACCACATACAAGATAGAGGCGGCTTTTGTGTGTGATAGAATGAATTAGCATTAGCTGCTTACCTTAGCCGACTTCCCTTGAGTAGGAGGCATGCTGCCCTCTTCTCCACTGGGATATACACTCACCCATTATCTCCTCTACCTCTCTTCCTTTTTATGTTGGGCCACATTAATCCATGCTGTCACAAATACCTATGCTCAATCTAAACACAGATTATGTCATATATAGAAGGCCATAGTATATAATGATGAGTGGTGCTGGTTTTAAATCAGTGTTTTATAATGGTGGCCATTTGATCCTCCTGTTCCATCACACTGGTGTTATTGAGAATCAGGAGGGTGTAGACACACAACAGTGGGGGATGACATGTAGGCCACTGTTTAGGCACAAACATGTAGACATAACAAAATATACTGAATAAAAATATAAATTCAACATGTAAAGCTTTGAACCCATGTTTCATGAGCCGAAATAAAAGATCACAGAAATGTTCCATCGCACAAAAAGTGTATTTCTCTAAAATGTTGTGCACAAATTTGTTTACATTCCTGTTAGTGAGCATTTATCCTTTGCCAAGATAGTCCATCCACCTGACAGTTGTGGCATATCAAGAAGCTGATTAAACAGCGTGATCATTACACAGGTGCACTTTGTGCAGGGGCAATATAAGGCCACTCTAAAATGTGCAGTTTTGTCACACAACGCAATGCCACAGAGTTTTGAGGGAGCGTGCAATTGGCATGCTGACTGCAGGAATGTCCACCAGAGCTGCTGCTAGAGAATTGAATGTTCATTTCTCTACCATAATACACCTTCAACATCATTTTAGAGAATTTGGCAGTACCTCACAACCGCAGATCACGTGTAACCACGCCAGCCCAGGACCTCCACATCAGGCTTCTTCACCTGCAGAATCGTCTGAGACCAGCCACCCGGACAGCTGATTAACCTGTGGGTTTGCACAACCGAAGAATTTCTGCACAAACTGTCTCTGGGAAGCTCATCTGCGTGCTCGTCGTCCTCACCAGGGTCTTGACCTGACTGCAGTTCGGCGTCGTAACCGACTTCAGTGGGCAAAATGTTCACCTTCAATGGCCATAACCCCTAGCCTAGCTAACGTTAGCCACCTAGCTAGAATTCGTAACATTTACATTTAGCAAATTAGTAACATAACACATTTAGCTAATTAATAACATATTTTACGTTTTTCAAATTCGTAACATATAAAAACGAATTGTATTTCGTAACATATCATACTAAATATTGTTTCGGATTTATGTACAGAATAATACGAACTGCTCTGAGATCAGGTTGGGTCCATAACACAACTCATAGCCCACACTGGTTGAATCAAAGTTGTTTCCACATCATTTCAATGAAATCTCGTTTTATATATCAATGTTTTATTATTAGTTAGGCTGTCTTGTACACATGCACAGCTAAAAGCTGAATTGCCGTATTCAGATAAAAGAAAAAAGGAGAAAAGTTAGTTGAAGAAGAATAAAAAATATGGAGAGTGAAATCTAGTCTTGACAGTTTCGGATGGTGCCTGCTCTTGGTGAAGGCCTCTCGTGTGTATAGATCATGGATGGGCATAGCTATTAAAAATATTGCCTAGTCAGCATGTTTGATGTATTTGATAACATTCCACATATTAACACGAGCCCGTCCTCCCGAATTAAGGTGCCACCAACCTCCTGTGTTGGCGATACTTCCTCAATTCCCGACTTGGAAGACAACACATTTTTATTTTAGAAAATGCTCCATTATTAAATAAAATAAATGTTTTGCTCCATGAAGTAATCCAACAATGTGGATGCCGCCATCTTGTCTATTTCTAAATCTTCTTATTGATCAAGACAGGTGAGTGGAAGTTTAGAAGACGTGTTGTCTTCAAGTCAGTATAGCCTAGTGAAGGTTGGTCGAAAATTCTCTGTGCTACGCTTAATATTACCTACCTAATAACTCCTATCAGCCAGATGGAACCGTAGCAATGGTCTGACTAGGCTAAAATTGTAATAGCTAAGATTGCCATTGACCATGGCAGGCTAACCAGAAAGATAGATGGATTACATGTCTTAATGTTTTGTATAGGTGTGCATACAGTGCATTCGGAAAGTATTCAGACCCCTTGACTTTTTCCACATTTTGTTACATTACAGCCTTATTCTAAAATGGATTACATTGTTTTTTTGAATTAGAGTTGATGACAATGCAAAGACCATCAATAACCTACAGAACTTGAGACAATGGGCTTGTTCGACATTGCAGCCGACAATACAGGCGACTGCAGACTGACTGATTTACAAATCACCTTGCACCATAACTACTCATTATTATTTGTAGATCAGTCATTCAGTCACCGTTTACCCACAATGCATCATGGATTTGACTCTCTCGAACACGGCCATTGGCATGCAGTAGGCTTATTACAGTTTTTTTTTCAATTGCTAACAAGCATCATCAATACTGAAGCCACTTTTTCAAAACTCTTCACACAGTCTGCATTACCAACATGCAACTTGGCCAAACAGTTAATCTCACCTCCAAAACTCACTCAAACCACCAAAACACTTCATACATGTCTCAAAATAAGCTTGTTCGACCATAACACTGGCAACAATTCTCACTCAGAAAGCAAACATTGTCACTCATAACACACTGACCTAAAAAACACTAACAACAGGGAGCATTACATAAATGATTAACTTTTCTCTTTGAAGTTTGAATGATTTTTCACATAAATCAGTATTTCATTATAGAATAACACCTTTTCCCTTGACTGTACTAAAGTGTGTGTAACAAGAACGATTCAGAAATGCAGCAATTTGCTTCAATAGCCTTTTTTTCTATATCTTTGCATATAGTAATGTACTTGTGAAAAATAAAAAGTTGAAACAAAATCCAGAAATTACAATAATTACAACAACAAAAAACATCAACAACATGTATAGTATAATCACTCATACTGTACAGGACTGTGAGGGTTCTAGTTCTCCCTCTCCTGCATTTGGCCACAAGTTCTCATCAACATCACATCTTATATCTTCTCTGGCGATGCATCTTGGAAAGTATCTTCTGGAATGTCTAATCCGACCCTGGCAGTCTTCAGGAGAAGTGTCCACACCCCG